CAGTACGGTCCTGCAAAAAACAGAACGGATGGTCACCGTAGGTATACATATAATAAGCTATAAGTTAGGTGTAGACGCAAGGTTTCCACTTGCTTATGGAGTTATGTCAGCGCTACAGCATAACAGGGGTAGAGTCATTTAATTACACTCACCAATATAACGATTCCTGCTAAAGAGGGAAAAATACTTGAGACTCAAATAACTGCGCCTATGTGAGAACGGTCCTAGCAGCGTTGGAGTTGTCAAAGGCCTTTGACACCCTTTGTTATTCCACGCTAGTAGAGAACATCGTGGCTTCCTTTCTCCCGCAGGAACTCAAACGGTGGTCGGCGAATTATATGAGTGGTCGGCAGTATTCTTCGGAGATCAAACATCTAAACCTAGGAGAATTAAAGAAGAGGTCTCCCCTCTTATGTCCGAACTTTCTCGCTTTTTCACTGCACGGGGTCTAACCCTCTCCGTACGAAATCAGCGGCGACCCTCTTCAACTAGGTAAGGACAAAGAAATGTTGCTGGCAACATGCAAGGCAATTGGCCGGCCAGTTCTGAACTATAATGCGCCTGTTTGCCCGTCGGGGACAAAATGAACGAAGCTACAAACTGATCAAAATGCCGCATTCCGGAAAATGAAGGATGCCTCTTCTTTTGTCGCCTGAGCAGCATTTTCCCCGTAAGGGAGCACAACAAAATGCGCGTTAGGCAGACAATTGCTTGAGGAAGAGTCTCCGCCAAGGCAGACGTTTATTGACTAACCGCTGGATCCGAAATCGCGCTACTACGACTCTCGACCCATTGCAGATAAAGAGCTTCGACTGCTACGAGAGACCCGCGTCACTCTGGCCCATTTACAGTCCGGAATTCTAGTCGGCCAAACAGCTACTTTTCCCCAATGGGTGTACAGCAGACAGTGTGCTTTTTGAACACTCCATGCGAATAAAGCTTGGCGCTTTCGACAAAAGCAACATTTTGATATGAAACAAAAGGATTTTGAAAGCTAATGTTGTTCCCTTCCGCGGAGTGTTTTGTGACGCCTAGCGTTAACGCCGAAGGCCCATACCTAAACAAAAGCGTCAACGCTACGTCAAATGCTGAAATATCACCAAAAATAAGCCTAGGTTTGTTTGTGTGTAACACGAAAGTTGACAGTTTCGCCGTTTTCTGCAGCCAACTTCATACAAATTGTATGGACATGAGCATTTTTTGACAGCCAGGCAACGCTCACGCTTTTGTTAAGGTATGGCAGATACGCTTTTAGCGAGAGATCAAAATCTAGATATACTCTATGATGTGATCCAAGGGTACTTAAAAGAATTTAGAAAATTGCGAATTATTTATGGCAGAACTTGTCTTGTGTACTAGGCAGTATAAGATACCCCACGCGAACTCCTCCATCAAACGGAGACGTTCGCCTAGCGCTTTCTGATGGAGCCAAGTATTTGGGCTTGATTATAGAAGATAATCTGTCTTGGAGACCTAACCTTCAGTAGAGAGTGAAGAAGTTATCTGTTACTATTTTCTGCTGCATGTTGATGTAGGTAAGATTCTCTATAAAAGCTATTGGATATCGCCAATTTATGTACTTATATATATATATATATATATGCCACTCGCTCCTACATAGTTGTGCGACTGGATACCGCCCTAATATCAGTGTACTACTGTATTCCAACCTGGGCGATCGCCAGTGGGGGAATACAGATCGCAACAGAAGTCTAATAAATTGCAGTGGCTTGCAACTAGTGCTCACAGTCGCATCAGACAACCTGCTCATTTTGTCCAACATGTACCAATCGTGAGACTATCTTCTCCGAAAACTTCCCAAACATCAGCACACGGAGGTCAATTGGGACACTTTACGGCAAATTCAGTGCACTTCTTCAATCTAAGAGTGCGCGCAAAGCTAGTAGGAACACCGGCAGTAACATAATCGCAGCTACCAACATGTAGTAAAAGGGGCGAGACTGGCAGAAGTGCGTGTCAACATCCCGCCATTAGGCACCAAGAAAATTAAAACTCTTGTACACCAGCACAAGCAGAACAACTGCGATAATCTCCGCCAGTCCGGCAATCTCGCGCAGATCCGCCAAACTGGGGTACATAGTGAAGCCTCTCCTATCCGGCGTAAGGGCAATGGCGCTCTAAAAATTTTCCAGTCAACAATTCATTGCACATCCGGTAGGAGATGAAACGCGCACTGTTTGTTTCCGAGATTTGAAAATGGATATAAACCTTCCCTTTATTAAACCAGGGAAGAGCGCGAAAGTCCCTTTCCAAAAACTGTGGGAGCACTTATGGTCTCCAGCCTGACTAAGCATCTTAAACTAGCGTACCACCAGCGTGAATCCCAGAAAATGCATAGCACCACCCCAGTATTAAATGTAATTATTTCACAAGTAAGTAAAGGTCTGAACAAACCTCAGTCCCTAAGTAAATTGGTCGTAGTCGCGGTTGGTCTGTTGAAGGCTGTCGATACAGTCAAACCTGACTGGACATCTATTCACCACGTGGGTCAAGTAGATCAAGCTAGAAATGGGCATACAGCTGTCTCAGGAGCATAACTACCGACAGTAGGTTAGGTTAGGTTAGGGAATGGCTAGCCATAACGTTACCAGATAAGCGATGACCATATTATACAGCTAATCACTGAGCGCCAGGTGCAATGTTGACAAACATCGCAGTCATCTTGGCAAATCGGAAAACCTTGTTGTACATTCACAAGCAGCAGATATTTATGTATGTACCGATGGGTCCGGCTCTGCTTATAGCAAGCGTCTGTGCTGATGCTCCCTAAGGTGGGGGAAGTATGAATTGCCTGGTGAGCATGTATGTAATTCGCCCTCCACCGTTCTTAACCCCGTGGTAGAGAGGACTGCTCAATGTATGCTGAAAGAGAGGAATAATGGTGTTGAACGCCTTTGACAGGTCCAGCGCAACCAAGCGGAGTGAGGAGTACTATCGGAGTGTTAAGTATCAGGATCACTGTCTCGGATTTCCACAAATCGGGAATGACATGAGGGGCCATCGAATGGTTGAGGATCTTGGACCCATTTTTTTTTCAACATAGGTGCGCATTCAACACTTGGCGCTGCCCACTGCATGATGCAATGCGAATTGTCGTGAAATTTTCAATCCATTCGGTCGACCATTGCGTGCTCTCTCCAGAGGCAAAGTTGCAGGTCTGAACATGTTCTTTCCACTTCTTCTGCGCATGCTTGGTAAGCAGTTGTCGAGTCTTAAAATTGAGATCCTTGATGCGGGGATCGGCTAAGCGTCCAAAAGGGATGAAACGGCCCGCTATGGTAGAGAATGCCTTGCGTTCGCCAGCATGAGCATATGTTGGTGTGGGGAGGACGGCGCAGGTGCATGCGACAGGTTTTTCGATCGAGATGCTTATAGGTAGGGGGTCCAATGCCAGCGACAACGTAGATAATGCTGTTTATCGCACATGTACTGGCTAATGTTAGGTCCTTATGGGGATGTCGTTGTTCATGGTGCAGAATTTAAAATCGCTTTTCTGCTCTGCAAATACTACTAGCATTCGGTGTTCACCTCTGACGATCGCATCGCTCGGTCGGATAGCTATTCTCAGACATTCCAAGATCGTATCCCTGCGGACGATGTCTTCTTCGGTGAGGCGATACTGTACTCTGTGATGTAGAATGAACGGTAAGCATCCGCCATTGTTTCGCTCGTGATCTTTACTGATCATATTGCAGACGGCGCAACTCAAGTTGGGCTGTTGTGCAACTTATTGAATAGAAAGTTGCAAATTAGTATGCAAATTTATCGCATTTTTCTGAGTTTTGCACAGAGTTTAGAGATTTAAATTTTATGTTTTCTGGTGTAGAATGAACTATGTTTTTATAAAAAATTATCGCAAATAAATTAGAGTAAAAAACTTTGCATATGTTGCGAAAAATTCACTGTGCCAATACTTTTGTTCGTCACTGTATGTTTTTTTTTTTTTAATTTCAGTTTATTTTTGAAACTTTATTTTAACGTATTTAATTAAATTTTCAGATACTTATTTTATTTTTCCAAAAAAGAGGAGGTTATCAGTTCGTCGGAATATTTTTTTTATCTTTTTTTATATATTTTTTTTTTATGTACATATGTTACCGCATAACTTTGGAGCACGTTAACCGATTTCGATAATTCTTTTTTCATCGGAGGTGGTACCTTAAGGGTGGTCCCATACTAATTAGATCCCATAATTCTATCGTGAAGAAATTAACGATAATCTTAAATTTTTATATGTGAACTGAAGTCGGTTTTGTGTTTTGCTTAAAAATTAATTGTTAGAAACTTGTTTTATTTATTTTTTCTTTTTGATTTATCTCTTTTATGTATTATTTTAATTTTTAGTTTTTGTGGTTTTAAAAACAATATAGTCTTTCGAAGGTCAAGTGTAAAATGCTAAGCCAAACGCAAAAATATTTCGCATTGCTTGACCGTTTCACTATCAGGCGTTTATGGTTATGCTGAAATCTCGATCTACCTTACCAGAGTGTGATGTAAGTGAAAACTCAACAACGCATAATTTCTGCGCTACGGGCTTCAACTCCCAAAAAATTCTGCGTTGTTGAGATTTCATTTACATGGCGCTCGGGTATGAAAGATCGTGCCTGCTGATTCGTGTTTACGTATCAGCGGGTTTACGTTGTTCACTAATTTTCGGCAAACATCTGGCGGATTTTATTTTCATTACATTGAGTGACCCCTAAAACATCTCAAGTTTATCTTTTTAATTTCTTCGCAGGTGCTTGAATCCCTCATACTCATCAACAATAAGCTTCAGCAAAAGGAAGCTGCTGAAGGTCTACTCACCACCTACCGCAACGCCAGCAATGAGTTCAAAGTACAGGGTCGTTGGTACGAAAAACTGCACAACTGGGAGCAAGCACTTAAACACTATTCCGGCAATCTAAAAGATAATTGCAACGATCTAGAAGCTCGGCTGGGTCATATGCGTTGTCTGGAAGCGTTGGGCGAGTGGTCGGAGCTAAGTATTGTCGCAAAACAGGAATGGGAAAACCTGGGCCGTGAGGCCAGATCGCGCGCTGGTCCGTTGGCTGCTGTTGCCGCCTGGGGCCTCCAGGATTGGGAGGCCATGCAAGAGTATGTACGCTGCATTCCGGAAGAGACACAAGACGGCAGCTTCTATCGTGCAGTGCTTTCCGTGCACAATGAGGACTTTGAGACGGCGCAGCGTCTAATTGATGGCACACGTGATCTGCTCGACACCGAACTCACCTCCATGGCTGGCGAGTCGTATGAACGTGCCTATGGCGCTATGGTTTGTGTGCAGATGTTGGCCGAATTGGAAGAAGTAATACAATACAAGCTCATACCCGAACGGCGTGAACCGCTGAAGAGCATGTGGTGGAAACGTTTGCAAGGTGGCCAGCGTTTGGTTGAAGATTGGCGCCGCATCATACAGGTGCACTCGTTGGTTGTGCGCCCGCAGGAAGACGTGCACACTTGGTTAAAATATGCCAGTCTGTGTCGCAAATCTGGTTCACTTCATTTGTCGCACAAAACACTGGTAATGTTGCTGGGCACAGATCCATCGGTACAACCGAACGATCCACTGCCTTACAATCAGCCACAGGTTACTTATGCCTACACTAAGCACATGGCTGCCGCCGAGAATATGCAGGGCGCCTACGAGCAGCTCAGCCGCTTTGTAAATGCTTATCGTGCACAATTGAATTGTATCGGCCCCGAGGAGGCGGCCAAACAGGCGGATCATCGCTTGCTTGCACGCTGCTATCTGCGGCTGGGCAAGTGGCAGAACAAGTTGCAGAGTTCGCTGGAGCCTGAAATGGTACAGGGTGCTTTGGACTGCTTCGAGAAGGCGACTGAGAATGATCCCACCTGCTACAAGGCGTGGCATCTGTGGGCATACATGAACTTCAAGGTGGTGCAAGCGCAGAAGCAGCAACTCGATAAGCTGGCGCATACGACTGTGAACGGCGACGTACTGCTGCAGAAGGAGAAGCTGATGATCGAACAGTATGCCGTTCAGGCGGTAGACGGCTTCTTCCGCTCCATCAGCCTCATCAAAGGCAATTCCTTGCAAGACACACTGCGCCTACTAACGCTCTGGTTTGACTATGGCCAATATTCAGAAGTTTATGACGCACTGCTCACTGGCATGAAGACGATCGAGATCAACACTTGGTTGCAGGTGATACCGCAGCTTATTGCGCGCATCGACACGCACCGCAAGCTGGTCAATCAGTTAATACATCATCTGCTCATCGATATAGGCAAATACCACCCTCAGGCACTCGTCTACCCACTGACTGTGGCTTCCAAATCGGCATCGGTGGCACGCAAGAACGCTGCCTTCAAGATACTCGATTCGATGCGCAAACACTATCCCACGCTTGTCGAGCAGGCGATGATGTGCAGCGAGGAATTGATACGCGTTGCCATACTTTGGCACGAACAATGGCATGAGGGACTAGAAGAGGCGTCACGTCTATACTTTGGCGATCGCAATGTGAAGGGCATGTTTGATATACTCGAGCCGTTGCACGCGCTGCTCGAACGTGGACCACAGACGCTGAAGGAGACATCCTTCTCGCAGGCTTATGGTCGTGAACTAACTGAGGCGTACGAGTGGACACAGCGTTACAAGACCTCTTCTGCACTGATGGATTTAGATCACGCTTGGGACATCTATTATCACGTTTTCCAAAAGATTTCACGCCAATTGCCACAGCTGACCTCACTCGAACTGCCCTATGTGTCGCCCAAATTGCTGGCATGCAAGAATCTGGAATTAGCTGTGCCCGGCTCCTATAATCCCAATCAGGAATTGATACGCATCGACTACATTAAAACCAATCTGCAGGTGATCACTTCAAAGCAGCGTCCACGTAAGCTTTGTCTGCGTGGCTCCAACGGCAAAGATTATATGTATCTGCTGAAGGGCCACGAGGATTTGCGTCAAGATGAGCGTGTCATGCAACTTTTCTCGCTGGTCAATACACTTTTACTCGACGATCCAGACACGTTCCGTCGCAATCTGGCCATACAACGTTATGCCGTCATACCGTTGAGCACCAACTCTGGTCTCATCGGTTGGGTGCCACATTGCGACACCTTACACACGCTAATACGCGACTACCGCGACAAGCGTAAGATGCCGCTCAATCAGGAGCACCGTCTCATGTTGAGCGTCTCGCCCGACTATGATCACTTAACCTTAATGCAAAAGGTTGAGGTGTTTGAGGGCGCGCTAGCGCAAACGCATGGCGATGATCTCGCGAAATTACTGTGGCTGAAATCACCATCGTCAGAAGTGTGGTTCGAGCGACGCACAAACTATACACGTTCACTCGCCGTCATGTCCATGGTAGGCTACATACTCGGCCTAGGCGATCGCCATCCCTCCAATCTGATGTTGGATCGCATGAGTGGCAAAATACTGCACATAGATTTCGGTGATTGCTTTGAGGTTGCAATGACGCGCGAAAAATTCCCCGAAAAGATACCGTTCCGCCTGACGCGCATGCTTATCAAGGCTATGGAAGTGACCGGTATCGAGGGTACATATCGACGCACTTGCGAGAGTGTCATGTTGGTGCTACGACGCAACAAAGATTCGCTTATGGCTGTTCTGGAGGCATTCGTCTATGACCCGCTGCTAAATTGGCGTTTGCTGGATATGGACAAAAATCATCGTTCCAAATCAAATAATGATCCAGGTGGTTCGGGCATGTTGGGTGGCGGTAATGGCAGTCTTAGCAACTCAGTGGAAGAACCGTTGCTGCACAGTCAACTAATGAGCGCCAATCTGATGGTAGGTGGGCCCATGATGGTGGCCGACATAACAAACAGCAAAGCGAGCAAGGTCATCAAACGCGTGAAGAGCAAATTAAATGGCACTGACTTTCAAACGCAGAATAGTGTGGCGGTGCCACAGCAAGTGGATCTGCTCATACAACAGGCGACCAATAATGAAAACCTATGCCAGTGTTACATTGGTTGGTGTCCATTTTGGTAAGAAATTAAATGCGAAAATCATAGTACAGATAGGACAGAAGGCAAAAGTGTGAGATACTACATATGTAGATGTGTGTCACAATTACACGAAAGTGAATTTTACATAAGTGAGAATATAGCTTAATGCAACAGGCCGTTGTTGAAGAACGCGTTTTGTTGCACGCTTTAATTTGTTTTAGGGAAGAGAAGCTGCTTAATCGTCGCTCAAAGGTATTAGCATAATTGAAATTACATATTTTACTACTCAAATTACTATACTTTCATATTAAAAAAAATTTTAATTTCTTAAATTTGGAAAGAGCTGTAAGCGCAGGAAAATACTTCCTTCTAATATGCAGCGCAATGGAAAACAGCTTCACATAAACATACAATCGCCGCTCGGAGTCGGCGTAAAACTGTAGGTCCCTCCCCTTTGTGTGACAACATCAAGGCAACCACAAATCGGAGGAGAAGCTCGGCCAAACACTAACACATGTGTAAGCGCCAATCTATTATTAATCCATAAGGCGAAAAGTAAAGGTTTTTATGCTAAATCCACAACTAAGTTATTGCTCAGTTGCGACTGAATTTAGCTGTGTATTAATGTAATATTCCTTCAACGGTTTTCCTAAAAAAAATTAGATTTTTTTATTAAAAAACATAAAATATGAATAATAATTACAACCACTATCATAAATAACTTTATAGCTGCCACGCTCCCATTTGGGAATGGAAAGAGCTGCGGTTTGAAAAATTATATTTTTCGGTGTGAAAATCGGTTACTGTTTTTTTCTTTAGCAAGTTTAAAAGCAAATGGCTTTGAGGTTAGAGAAGTCATTATGTAAGGTTTATACTACATATTTAAGCGAAAAATTGTATAATTTTTAAGTGCGCTCAATGTCTGCATTGAGTAGGGAATACCGCATACATAAGACAGCTAATTATTGAGTAAAAACTTTCTTGAAATTTAATTTCAAAAAATAATGTTATTCAAAAGGCTAACACCTTGTCCGAATACTGACTCCTTGCTACATAGCATACTAAATTTTAATAAAAAAAAATTTAAAATCAAAAAAATTCAGAAAAAAAATTAAATAAGTTTGAAAAATTTTATAAAAAGGAATTCTAAATAGGTTTTCAATTTATAAACCATTTCATATATCATCATTTCAATTAAATCTGACTGTTCATTACTTTACAATAATTTAATTACTATTCACCCTACTAATATAGCTGCTCTTTTCGATGGCGACCCTTCAAAATACAATTAAAATTATTTTTACAAAGGGATTCTTTGTTTTATATTTCTTTCACTTTTGTTCTCTTTTGTTCAACTTACTTTAGTTTCTAAGCTGCAACTCGTCATTTTCATGTCAAGTAACAAAAACTTGCACTGCAGTACAGTTGCATAGGTCAAAAGTGCGTAAAATTTAAGAAACTATGCGTAACCACAGCATAAATTATTTTATATAAATTTTCATGTGTAATTACGAATGTTTGCATACACGCATACATACATATTTACTTAAGTATACATATTTTATAAGCATATTATGAAATAATAAAAATTTTAACAGTAATTACTAGGGCTGTGCGATTAATTGATTACTCAAAATTTTAATTAATCATAAAGTAAATAACTCAATTATTCGATTAATTGGAAATTATGATTACTCAAAAGTTCAGTTACTCGAGTAATCAAGATTTTTGATTAACCAAAAACAAAAATATTTGAGTAATTTGCTTTATGATTAATCAACATTTCGAGTAAAATGAGTAATCAACATTTCAACTCTTTACATATGTATAAAGTAGTTAAAGTTCCTTGATACTTTGTAAACAACGTTTCTGTTTTCAAAAATGAAAGCAAACAATTTTTTTCATATACAGAATGTAAAAAAGAAAATAAGCATTTTCCAAAGCAAACTCTTTTAACGAGCAAAATTATTTTTTTGAGTAATCATATTTCAAGTAACTCGATTAATCATCGTTTTGAGTAATCAAAATCTTGATTACTCGAGTAATTGATTAACCGAATAATTGATTAACCAACTTGCTCGAGTAATCGAATAATCGCACAGCCCTAGTAATTACAATAAAAATCGATAAAACAAAATAATTGTTAATTTGTGTTTTTTTTTAAGCCTGAAACTGGTCGACAAGGAGCTTTAATTCTCTTCCCAGTAGAACTTGGGAGCATCGTACGATTGCTCGGTGAGTACTCCCTTGGGAGTATACGAATACTCCCAATTGCTCCCTATGCTTCTGTGTATAAGCATATAATTTTGTATAATCCCTTTAACATTGGATGTCCTAGGAGGGGGAGTGATCCCTTTTACCTCCTAAACGAGCAATCGGGGAGCACACACAGAATTATCATCCCACAAACCTTCTAATGAAACAATACGGGAGTACTCCCATAGTTACCTCCCAGAAACCTCCCAAAAAGACAACAAGGGAGTGCACATAGAAAACATCCCATATACCTCCCGAACGAGCAATAAGGGAGTGCTCCCATTAGAGGCATCCCGAAAGCCTCCTATAGGAGTAATAAAAGAGCAATGATAACGAACATTTTAAATTAGCCAAATAGATTTTGCTATTTATAAAATTTTTTATTTAACTTTTTAATCACGTGCATTTGTGCTAGTTTTACAAGACCTTAACAGATATAAGTACGAGATCAGATAAAACATAAATGATACGCCTTACCTAATTGCTTAATTTTAGAATTATATTGCAGAGAAATCATATGAAAGTAAAACGTAATAATAACAAAACGGTAAGATAAGATATGCACATATAAGTATGTACTCGTATATGATTTCCTGGTTGTCAAGGATGCTTGCCTGGTCAGGAATCCACCAAGCGGGGAAATTGTGAAGGTGACTTTGCTTATCTGACATCTTTGTCACCCATGCGATGTTTAAACCCGGGGGTCACACTTAAATGCAAACACTAATTTGCGCAATCTGAAAAGTATTTAACGGTATATTTGTAAGTAATACAATGCTTAAAATATTTAAACAAAAGTTGAGGTACATACCAACGGACTTTTATTAAAATCTGTGTGCTATCCAAATTAGATTATTGTGTCCTCCTTATGCGCCTATAAGAAATATTTTCTGTTGGTTTTTTTTTTATGTGATAAATTTTTTCGAAAACACAAAATTTCTTTTGAACGAGGTGCGTATTGCTCTCCTATCAATCAAAAAGAAGACTCTTGGATTTCTCGCTTAGGAGACATCACTTTTTAATCCTAAACGTGTAATAACGGAGTACAAAACCGACAAATCTCGCTTATTGCTCCCAAATCATGCATCAGGGAGCATTCTTTAATTGCTCGCTTAGGAGATCTCTCATTACGCTCCTAAGCGAGCAATACAGGAGGACAAAACCGACAAATCTCGTTTATTGCTCCCAAATCATGCCTCGGGGAGTATTATTTCGTCGCTCGCTTAGGAGATCTCCTATTTGATTCCTAAACGAGTAATAAAGGAGTACAAAACCGACAAATCTCCCTTATTGCTCAGAAATCAGGTTAAGGGGAGTACTCTTTTATTCCTCACATAGGGAGATCTCCCTTCAGGTTCTAGTGGGTTTTTAACTTATAACTGATTACATACATACATATGTACATACAGTTTTAGAAAATTAAATTAGTGCACGATATTTATTTATTTGTCGACCTTAAAGCCGCTTTCGATAGCACTAAAAAGAGTTGCCTATACGCCGATATGTCTGCATTTGTTAAAATGACGTTGATCAATACCAGCAGTTCCGTTAGAATTGGGAAAGACCTCTCCGAGCCGTTTGTTACCCAACAGGGTTTCATACAGGTTGACTCGCTTCCGTGTGATTGCTTTAATCTGATGTTGAAGAAGATAATAAGAGCTGCAGAACTGAACCGCTCAGGAACACTTTTTTACAATAGTATCCAATTGTTGGCGTATGCCGATCGACATCGTCGGTAACAAAAACCGCGAAGTCTGTTCGGCCTTTTTTAAGTTGGATAAGGAAGCAAAGCGATTGGGTCTGGTGGTCAACGAGGACAGCAAGAAGTATTTCCTGTCGTCAAACAAACAGTCAGCACATTCGCACCTTGGCACACGCGGCACTGTCGACAGTTACAAGTTTGAAAAAGTAGACTACTTTGTTTATTTGGGAACCAGCATTAACACCGATAATAATTTCAGCATGGAAATCCAACGAAGAGTAACTCGTTGAGGCGGCTCTTGGAGAATTCGAGAGAAAGGTTTTGCGGAAGGTTTAGGGGTCTTTACGCTTTAGCGACGGCGAGTACCGCAGACGATGGAACGATGAGCTGTATAAGCTTTACAACGACATGGACATATGTAGTGCAGTGAACTAAATTATAGCGGCTCTGCTGGCTTAGCCATGTTGTTCGAATGGACGCCGACGCTCCAGCCCTGAAAGCCTTCAACTCAGAATCAGCTGATGATAGTAGAGGAATAGGGAGGCCCCACTGCGATGGAAAGACCAAGGATTTGACTACACTTGACATCTCGGATTGGCGTCAGTTGGCACAGAAGAAAAACAACTGGCGTACTTTGTTGAACTCGGCCAAAATCGCTTAGACGGTTACAGCGTCAAAAAAGAAGTACATATTTCTTATGTAATAAGGAATACTTTTGCCAAAAATAAAACCTCTAAATGGCGCTGGGGTCAAGATATCTAGAAACTCAGTATTTATGGTCTGCTTTGGCTCTATTTTTATGTTATACGAAATTAATTTTTAGATGGCTAACTGAAGGATGAGACTAAGTATGCATACAAAAAAGTGCACGCCCACATAAACCCTAAATGCGATCTTCCAGCTACCTCCGCTTGATCTAATCGATTGGGGCGGTTATTATTGCAGAAGTATGACCCAAACAAGTCAGTTTATGAATCAACAGAATCTCTGGCTATACAGCTATCCTAGGTACAGCAATGAGTCACGGGAGGAGTATTTGCCATCCAGGAGGTAGCACGGAATCTCCCTTATCTCTTACTACACACGTACATAGCCGGTTTTACACGGTCTGGAAAGACTAGTGCGTCGACGCTCGATATCTTTGAAAGGGATTATTTAGTATACAATATGGTTCAACCAGCCCCCAACGTAAAATCGTAAACCGTGTCTGCTGATCGCGTGACGGTGGCGTTGTCTTGCTTCTCTCTCTCTCTCTCTTATCAACGGACGGCAAGTACGGAAGGGCGCTTCGTCGATGGCTGGTTGAACCAATAGGGTACCACATTTAACAGATTTCTTATGTGACAACTCTCATTCAACGCTAAGTATGCATAACTGAGCTATCACTTTGAAATAATAGTCTTTGATGTGTAAACAGCTTAGCCCATTTCCCGACTACTTCATGACTATTTTAGGGATATTTTGGGGCTAGTTCGGAATCATTTAGGAACTAATAAGGAACCGTTTCGGGACCGTATGAAGACCACCATTTCAGGAACAGTTCCTGACCGTTTCGGGGCGTTTTCAGGGCCTGTTTACGATTATTTCAGGACCATTTCGGAGCTATTTCAGCACCATTTCGAAACTAGTCACGAAATGATCCTGAAATAGTCCTGAACTATTCCCGAAGTGATTATGAAAAGGTCATATACTGGTACCGAAAAATTAAATGAAATTAATGTTTAATTTCTGAGCTTACCTATTTTGTGCGTACTTGAATCGCCTATTGCTTTGCCAAGTACTCACGCCTGCCATGGTAATTTGGCATCAAAGGTCGAATAATACAGAATAAGCGCTTGTTGGACTTCTTTAAGTGCCTGGTTGTTGTTGTTGTGTTAGCAGCACGTAGTCACCGAATTGGTTGGTTGTTTATTCATCTTCGTCTTCCCTATCTGACTCCTCCAACCTTAGGCCCAGGAAGCGAGCAGTCTCAATAGGTTGAGTCCACAGCGCTTCGGGTGTCAGATGGGTGGAATATGTAGGGCATGCGAATAGGTGTGCGGTGTTGTGTGGACCAGTTCCGCATGCTGGGCAGGTGTCAGCGATCTCTGGGTCTAATCTGGTTCTGTAAGAGTTTAAGCGGCTGCACCAGCCAGATCTGAGTT